TTGAAATCGTGTTTTTAGTGTCAGGCAAAGTTTAACAGCTGCTCTAGAGCCAGAGCTCAGGGTAAAGCAAGAGTCATTTGCTGCTGGGGTTGGCCTGAGTGCTAGAGCTGTTGTATGAAGGTACTGAGGAGACGATGTATAGCCTGCTGGCTGTATTGGCAGCTCTACATCAGACTGCCTTTCTGCTGAATGGTGCAATCCATCATAAGCTCATAGTGTGGGCTTTGCCCCTGCTACCTTAAATGCAGATTTCCCCATGGTAGGTGCAGTCAGAGCTAATCCTGAAAACTTTTCATCATGACTTCAGCTGCTCTGTTAAAGGTACTGGGGAATCATAGTGTGTGTTAAAGACAGAAAGTGTTTTTTCCCAGAATTGTTTTTCATTTTCCCTAGACATATTCAGTTCCATTTACTGTAAATAGTCCTTTTCTAGCTTGAATATTTTCATTTCACGAGGCATGAAGACACAGTCGAAGCTCTCTCAACCGTGTGAGGGATGATTAAATATTTAACTTGAGTGTTTGCAGGTGATGTAATGAAGGTGGCTGAATTTTATTATTTAGAATGTTTACAATAAAAATGGATGAAGATAACACCCAAAATTTTTCAAGTGGGTTCTCTGGGTTTAAAAGATGTTCTCCAGTTCATGAGTGGAAGTAGAAGCAGCATTGTGTGTGTGAGTCCAAAAAATCCCAAATTTACTAGAACTGCTACCACCTAGTGGTGGCTGCCTCTATTGTAAAATATAAAACAAGCTGGGGTTATTTCAGTTAATGTAGGGAAGATAGTAAATCATCAGCTCATCTGACTGATAATGCCAACTGCTTGTACCATATCCATTTCCAGTGGTCTGTTTACTCCAATTTTGAGGATTATTTATCTAATGGGTTTTCTAACTCTTCTCTTGGGATGTTAGGAATGTTTGTCAATAAACACTTGCTTTAGCACCAAAATGTTTTTCATTACCTCCTGTTTTGTCTACTAACTTTGAAGTGTCTCAAGCTCTACTCTCTATTCCACCATAGTTCCAGGAAAAAATAAAACCATGTACAAAAAGAATCATGCCAGCAAGCTCCCCACATTGATCTGTATCTCCTCTTTCATCTGAAATTTTTCACATTTGGTGTCCCTCTTCATAATTTGGTTTGTATATGTAGGGAAGCAGTTCCCTCCTCTTTCTTGCCACCAATAAAAGATGAAGTGGATTCTTCTCACTGGGCTGACAAAAGACAGCTACTTGATTTGTAAATAGACTTCAGCAAAGCAGTCTTGTCTTTCCACAGTTTGAAGGAAAAATGATTTTGGCTACATCTATATAGTGGTTTCTTTCATGCAAGCGGAAAAGTTTTTGGATTCTCAGATGGCATCCTTGAGGTTTAGCTTATGAATACATCTCATGAGAAGTTTTTTTTTTCCCAGGAGCTGACGAGGCAGCAGCTGAGTTACCAGTGGTTTTTTTGTCACCTTCCTCCCTATGTCCGTACTTCCCTGCTCTTCTCCTCTTTCTTCCTTATCCTGCACATCTTTTTTGATTCTGGTGTCAGAATTGAGATCTTCAGATAGTGTCACCTTCTTCTCTTCATTTTGGGGGAGTGACATACTGGTTGCACACGACAAGGTGTAACGTGTGCTGCTCCCATGGTTGCTGAAGAAGTGGCAGTGGGTGGAAGCCTTGAGAAGTGGATTTCGCTGCTCTTGTCCTCTTGATTCACCAAGTGTAAATTCTGTGGGATAACAAGTGGACTGGAAAGCATTTTACAGCCTCAGTAAGTGAAAAATGGGAAAGGGGCAAAAGAAACAGCAGGCCTTTCCTGTGCATCCTGTTTCTTTCACTGCCTGGAATCGAGTGACTGCTCTGCAACATAAATCAGCCAAATTCTGGAGATGGGAATTATCCATGTGAGAGGAGCTCTGTCTTGTTGGAGGGATGTTTGCCCAGATTTGAAGGCTCAGTCAAAATCCTCCTCCTTGTGTAAGATAGAAGCCTGCTGGAGCCGTGTGGCCAGCAGGGTTTCTGTTGCTACAGTGGGCATGTAAGAAGGCAGAAAACAGTAGTGCAGGCCAGGCCTAACCTCTGCTGGAGTGGATGAAGCAGCTGCCAGTGCAAGACTACCCTTGCAGCCATTTCTTGCACTGCAGGAGAAGTCTCACACTGGACCTGGCCAATTGTCTTCACAACCATTGTGTTTACCACACACCTTCACAGCTTCCCTGCTGCTATTCCAGTTCATCAGAGGCAGAACTGGGCTGATTCTCACCCATCCCCAATAACCAGGATTTGTGCAAAGCAGCTCACTTTTTCACCAGCTGCAGAACCAACTGCACAGGTTGGAGATAACCACAGAGCAGCTCAGCTAGTCAGGAACTGCTGCTTTATGTGAGGTACATGCATGAAGTTTCCTAAGGGGCCTGTGAAACTCCTTCTTGACAAGGAAAAGGGCAGGTGTGGTTTGTACAGGGGAGGAGGAAGAGGGCTCCCCCAAGCATGTACATGTGGCAGCATATCTCTGGCTATGTCACCACCTGAGCTTTGAATGTTCCTTCAGGGCTGCCCTGCCCAGAGGAGCTTCAGAAGAGAAAGCCTCTGTACATTTGTGTTCCTAGGATCTGGAGTGGGCTTTGCCCTTTGTGAAGGCACATTGTTTAAACTTAAGGGTTTGTTTTTCTTTATATAGACCTCATCTGTTTGCCTGTGCCAGTACATCACTTACCTGTGGACCACCTATCCCTTGAAGTGTTTTTCTCTTGTGCACCAGAAAATGTAGTTGTAGGCCACATGTGCAAGAACAGAATAACAGCTTGGAAGAGGCCCAGGGCACAGAGGAGAGGAAAGGAGATAGAATTCAAGTACAATTCACTGAAGAATGAGTATACTGAGAATATACTGAAGAATGAGTAAGAAAAATGATCTATTTTTCCAAATACTAGAAGCAGAAGAAGAAAAAGTTATGGAAAAATTGGAAAATCATGAATGATGTATGTCATTGAATGTTGAAATTGGAACTTCTGTATTAAGAGACATAATGGTTTTGGCTTGCTCTTACCTTGAGTGCCACCCATGCACATTCTCCTCACTCACCTTGCTTCTGATGTTTCATGTTGAAAAACAGGAAGGAAATCTCCCTCTGCATCCACTGTTTTCTGTTTGGTCAATAAAGAGTTACAGAACATCCCTCTGGGTACGATTAAGAGGAGCTTTTTCCCATCTTGGTTTCCTTGTGCTCTTCACTCATCTCCATCCTAACAGAGCTCACATGGTTTCCTGCCCCTCTCCCTAATGAACCCCCTCTGTGCTGTGCTGTGCTGTGCTGTGCTGTGCTGTGCTGTGCTGGCAGCCTTTCTTCAGCCCAACACACATCCATCCCATCACGGGAGCATTTCCTGACCTCACAGGGGATGAGACAGGGCAGCCCACGTCTGCTTTCAGACGTCCCCATCCTCACATTCTGTGGCCTTACACACAGATTAGGGCTTGCTTGCGTGTTCTAACGGGCAGATAATTAGATGAGCAATGAACTTTGTGTAATCCACTGTCTGTGTAAACAGATCTGTTCTGATTAAAAGGTGAGATTACTTTTTGTGATAGGTCACTTCTCCCCCTTAAACTCCCCCAAGAAAAAGCATACCAAGAATTGCACACTATTAAGTGATCATTCACTATCACCAGAAACACTGCTTCACTTTGACATTTGTTTAGTGGCCATTTATTATCACTAGCGAGAGGAGATGGGCCCAGTGCAAATCATGTTGCAAGACTACATTCAAACTAATATGTGCCTGAGAACCATCTTCTTATCTTCTGTTTTTACTCATTGCTTAGGGAAAAAGCCTGTAATAGAAAATCTGGGCAGTCTGGAGACAAGCACATGTTGTACTGTGTCAAACAGAGAGCTTGCACTGCTCTCCTAGAGTTTCTAAATCCCTGGAGTTACTCAGCAGCTATCGTTCTTGCAGATGAATGTTGAAATGCTGGCTGGGTTGTGGGCTCCTTTTGCTGCTTGCTGTCAATAGGCAGGAGGCGGGGTGCAGGACTTAAAGGAAAGTTTCAGCTTTCAGAAAGCACCACTTGCGAACTTCGTGTCCTGGAACAATTCCTGGGAAGTGGCACTGGGGATGCAGTTACATCAGCGCCTCCAGAGCCTGACCAGCTTATTTCCTATTTACTAATGCACTATTTGTGTAGAGCTTGGAAGGAGAACAGCTCCAGCCCTCTGTTCTCCTTAAGCACCTTACCTGTTTCAGTTTTTTGGACATTTGTTACATCTTTAGCAACATTAATGCTGCAGACAGGTAAGTAAGCAGAGGACACCATTAAGGACCACATCTTAGGTAATTTTTGTCTTCTTGTGAGGTAACTGTGGAACAGCAAAGCCTGTTACGTTTTGATTCCAAGTGGCATATCAAAGACTCAGGTGTGGACAAACTTACACATCTTCCACTTTCATGGTGTATACCCAATTTTTTAAGTTAACTTTTGTGTTACTGTCTGCACTAAGTATTCACATTTAGTTGTACCAGGTGGTTGCGTGAGGCCTTTACATTTCCTTGGAAAAACATTTCTTGCTACACAAAAATTAGTTTGATAAATATGCAGGTTGCATATTATTTCAGTCTGTGTTCATGTTTTTCATACACAAGTTTATTAGTAATACATCCATGTGCCTCTGGAATGGTCTATTTGTAATAGTGACCTCAGCTCTTCTTCGGTGTCTTGTGTTCTCTGGTTAAAAGTGATTATATTAAAAATTATTGCAGGAAGCTGCTGAGTTTGTGAGTCTGTTTTGGAAAAGAAAGCATTTTGTGAAAGAGTTTGTATCATCTTGTTAATTGGGTTCTGTGGTATTTTCATCTCTTTTCAGCTGTAAGTTGCTGGCCTAGGTCATAGACAAGAGAAATAGATGTTGGGATGCTTGATCAGAAACGATGCTCCTGGGTCCCTGTGCAGACTCACTGCTGGTAGTTGGGAATCCCACTGAAAGTTTCTCTGTGTTTCCTTGCAGAGAGCCAGGCGGATGCAGAGGCACTAGCTACAGGAAACAAAGCCTTGAACCTGAGCTGTGGGGAGAAGGAGCAGTCAGAGGAAATGACAGAGCTGCCAGAGAGTGAGCACGGCCCCAAGGAGGAGCAGAAGGCCGATTCCCTTCTGGCAGAAGAGGATGCTGAAGAAAAAGTGGATGGATATGAAGAGGGCCCTGAGGAAGATTCTGTAAGTAACAAAAGTCTTGACCTCAATTTTGCCAGCAAATTAATGGACTTCAAGCTGGCAGAGAGTGACCAGAGTGCAGGCAGCAGTTCTCAGACTGAAAGGAAACATGCCTGTGACATTTGTGGCAAAACCTTCAAGTTTGCTGGCACTCTTAGCCGTCACAAAAAGGCCCACATTCGTGAGGACAGAAAGGATGAAAGGAGCAGTGAGGATGAAAGCAAAAGCATTCAGGATGATGCAGGAGCTCCCTCGATGCATGACTCTGGTCTTGAGCAGGAAGAGTCTCCGTTGGACTTGAAGGTAGTGGAGTCTCCTGTGGACTTTGAGGCAACAGGAAAGGAGAATGAAGAGAGCGAAAGCATCTCTGAGGGGGAAGGCACAGAGAGAAAGTCCACTGAGAAGAGCAGTGATGACAAACCAAAGACTGATGGGGCTAAGAGTACTGCAAAAGCAGACAAAAGAAAGAAAGTCTGTACTGTGTGCAACAAGCGTTTCTGGTCTCTGCAAGATCTGACGCGACATATGCGGTCTCATACAGGTAAGAGGAGGCTTGAGGGCAGAACAGACCATGAGGTGTCCCACCAGACTGAGGTGTCTGCTCTGGAGGTGCACGGTTGCTGCCGGCACTTGAGGTTGGAGACACTGCTTTTAGTCCTAAAGGTATCTGCAAGGTGTCTTCTCTGCCCCAGTCCCCCATGCTGCATAAAAAGCCTATGGAGGGAGCAAGAATTGCAGCCACTGCTTTATTTTCAACTCCCAAACTCTTTTCCCCATGATTGCTTGAGAGTTCAGAGGTTAGGGCAAGTGTGGAGATCCCTGGGCATCTTCTGACTCCTTTCTTGCCATGCGTGTGTGGCTTTACTTCTTCCCAATATTTGACCAGCAGTGGAGAAACTGTATCAATGAGACCTCACCTCTGAGTCAAAGTTTAGAGAGAGAGAGAGAGAGAAAGAGTTTGGTTTTGTCTGATCATCTGAGCCTAATATGGGTAACATGCTGATGATGTGTGCGACCTGCTGCTTGGGTGCAAGGCAGAGATCCAGTGGTCACTTGGCAGGGAAGGTGGAACACTGGTAGTGAAACACTTGCCCAGTGACTTGACTGGGCAGTGGGATTGCTTTATGTGATAGGCAGATTGCAGCAGTGCCTTGCAAATGAGATGAAGCCATGAACCAGCTCAAAGGTGAATTAATCATTCATCCTTATTAATTATGTATTTTACCTGCCAGCAAGCTGCTCTGACATGGGAAAACTGGTCCATTTTGACATTTTGTGTCTTTTGAAGGTTCTCTCTGCTGAAGACAAGATCTTTGCCATTGACAAAATATTTGTGTTGTAATTTACAGTGATTTTTAGAAAACTACACCAGAGAGTAATGCCTGAATAGCTTCAACCCTTCTAAAACATAAATATTCACCTATTGAGCGCAAAACTGACCTGTTTTCTTCTGCCACTGAGCCACAAGTGAAACATGACAGGTCCCTTTCTAGAGCCTATTTTCATTCAAGTGCAGAAGCTTCAGGAAAATGCTGATATCCAAAGTACTGAGCTTTACCTCCATGGACCATGTGTGCCCATGGACATTTCCATACTCTCTGTTTTAATTGTTTTCATTGCCTGCTGGGTTATTGTGGGCTTTGTCAGTATGTTTTTTTCCTGTTTGTTTCTCTTTCTTATTTGACACTTGAAGGATGTTTTAACATAGAATAGGTGTGGAACAGGAACCTGGCACAGTGCTTTCTTCAAATTCATAAATGTAACTATGGCCTACCCCTACTGTCAGATACACATATTTTCAGCTGAGGAATTTGCACCAATGCTGTGGGTTGACTCTTCTCCTTGTCTCCTTCCCACTTGTTCAACTATATTGACAAAATACTGTCAGGTTGCACATTCCTTATATTTCAGTTTTAATGTGTGAGGTTTAGTAAAGATACCTGTAGGGTTTTGGGATTTGTTTACTCAGAAGAGGAACATTTGGGACACACTGAAGTGTGCAAGAAACCTCTGCCTGCCTACTGCATGTCTCAGTCTGATGCTCATTGGCACAAGATGGTGTCTTGATGGAACTGCAGCACTGAAAAGTCTTTTAAGAGGCACACTTGGAAAAGGAGGACAGGTTGGGGTGGGACTTTTGTTTCTTCAGGGCAGACAGCACCTTGGGGCAGTGTGCGTGGTTTGTATTTTGGGAGAATTTTGTCTGTGGGGTTGTGGTTGCTTTGTTTTCCAATGAGTTCTTGCTGAGGAAAGTATTCTCTCTCTCCACATGTGTCTGGGGCTGACCTGCATCAGGGAGTCCACGTGGTGGGCTGATTTCATAAAGGTTTTTGAGTTCCAGAGATCGACTGTAAACTTTTTCCAGAAAAGTTGCTGACTAAATTAGGCAGGATGCTGGTGAGCACCTGGTGCTTACGGCCTTCCTCCCTCCTCAGTGCAGGCCTCGCCAAGCTCGTAGACACTTAGTTCAATGCTCCATTTGTGCCGTGGGCATTTACCTGTATTCCTGCTTGCACTCCATCAGCTAGTTTGCTAGTACAGAAGCAAATAATCTGCATAAATGTGATGTTCAATTTGTGAATTTCCAAAGTGCAAAGTGTTTCATGCTGCTTGAAACAAGAGGGAGGCGCATGTGCGACCTCACAGCTGACTTTGTGTTGTCATTCTCTTCCAGGTGAGCGACCTTACAAGTGTCAAACCTGCGAACGGACCTTCACTCTGAAGCACAGCCTGGTCCGTCACCAGCGCATCCACCAGAAAGTCAAAAATGCCCGAAACCATGGGAAGGAGAGCGACAAGGAGGAGACGCAGTCGCGGTGCGGAGAAGACAGCGAGAACGAGTCCAGCCACAGCGGCACCAACCCCATCTCCGAAAGCGAGTGCGACTCCGCGGGGGGCGTCGGTAGCCACTCGTCCCTGGCGGGGAGCCGGAGCGAGCCCCTGGCCGGCACGGTCACGGACTCCCCCTGCGGAGAGGAGAGGAGCGGCGCCTGCCTCGCCGAGCCCGCCAAGAGCGTGCAGAAACACGCGGCAAAGGACCAGGAACCGCGGGGCAGCTCCGAGCACGAGAGGCCCTCGGGTTTCATCCAAGACTTGCTGGAGATGCACAACGCTCCGTCTCCCATGAATCACATCCTGGCCTCTGCCGACAGCGCGCCTCAGCTCCTGGGGGTGGAATGACTTGCTTGGAGGTTGGACCCGTCTCAGCAGGCAAACTGAAGCCAGCAGAGCAAGGTTTCTGGAGTCTGGTTTTGGAAGAGCGACCTTACAGCTATGGGGAAGAGTATGGCAGACTGGACGTGGTGCCATATGCCTTTCAGTATAATAATGCAAGAGACTACAGTATATACTGATTTGAGTGCCTTACTACTTTATTAGATCTTTTGGTATTATAGATTTTTTTCAAAAATGATTTTAATATTTTAAAGAATTATTTGGAGAGGACCCTTTTTCATTTAAGCATTAATGTTACCTTTTGTATTGGTGTGCGTGAGCTTGTTCTTGTATATCTGTGATAGTCGCTGTGTTTGTTCTCTGAGCTGGAAATGGGGCAGTGGGGTGGGAGGCCCTTGGATACCATAGCCAATAACTGGAAGAAAAATGATGTGAATTTCATATGAAATAGTCAGAGGAGATGCCGAGGAGATGTTGATTTATTGTTTTTTTTCTCAGTAGATGTTCTTGCATTTGCCACATGGTGGAGCATTAAGCCTGTTCCAGGCACGAACAACGTGGCAGTTGAAGGTGTTCAAAGTGGTTCAAGCCAAAAGCAGGAAACACAAATTAATTTCAACCTCATGCTTGTTTCCACTTTTCAGCATTAGAAGTGTCTTCTAAATCCTAGGGGTTTTTTCTGGCCCTCACGGACTGAGCGTGTATACAGAGAAGAGTTACATAGCAACGTAACCTATGGAAATTATGCACCCGCTGTTACATATGTTTGATTTGCTTCAGTATATTATTATTATTATTATTTTATTATTATTTTATAAATCCATCAGTTCGCTTGTCTCTGCAGTCAGCAGAAGCCAATGGGCAATATTTGCCCACGGAGATGCGTAGCGCAGCTTGGATCCCGTCTCGGAGTGTTCTTGACTCATCAGCTTTCACCAGCTCCTCCTCCTCCTCCTCCTCCTGTTGTTGCAGCTCTTCTACTGTACTTTACATGAACCCCTTCCTCCGACCGGAGCGTCCCGTGGAGGCCAGCGAGGTACCGTGCCTGTGCGGGTCACATCTCCCTCCTTCCCTCCCTCCCTCCCTCCCTCCCTCCCTCGCGGTGGGCACGGGCGGCAGCGGAGCCCCGGCTGCGGGAGAGGGGCACCGGGAGAGGGGCACCGCCAGTGCCGCAGTGACCTCGCTGCCCTCACCTCGGTGACGGGCACTCACTCACAGAGCAAAGTTATCCCGTCTTCCAGTGGAAAGCAAGAGAGAAATGCGAGCCTTACCCTCGTCTTGCTTCTGTCGTGTTCTAAGAGCAAGAAAATACTACTGGTGATAAAACTACAGATATACGACATGTTAAAAATAAATAAAATTAATTTAAAATAAAAAAAAAAGAAATAAATTCTTCCTGAGATTTTGGGGTTGATGCTTGAAGACTTGAGGTGTGTGTCTAAATTTCATATCAGTAATTTAACCCCTTTAATGCTGGCAGCTGGAATTTCTCCATATGGCTCCTGTTGCCGGCAACAGGTGACAGACACTCCAGCCTCCAATATTGAAGGGGTTAAACGAAATGTATCCTACTGTAGCTGCGCATTTTTAGGAGTGCCCAGCATTTTTGTTGTTCTTGTCGTTGTTGTCGTTATTGTTGTTTGTTAATTGTCCTTCAGTCATGACCTCTGGGACAGACAGAGCCATAATAGCATTGCCGGAGCCTCACTGTGCTATTCCACCACTGCAGCCCCCCAGCCCAGCCCAGCCCGCACTGTGACCCTCCCTCCTTCCCACCACAGAATCGCTTTTCCTGCTCTCACCAGACATGGAGGAAGTGGGCCTCGGACCCAGTCTATATTATATAATATATATATCTATATATATCTATATATTAAAAATTCTCTGAAAAATTTCTGGAGACTGAAATCTCACTGTCCAGAATTCAAAGGAAGAGAAACATTCTTGAGTAATATTCTTGCAAATAGAATAAGAAAAAATGGTTGAGGTATATGTGATTTCTATTTTTTTTTTTTTTGTGTTTTGTGGTTTTTTTTTTTTTTAATTTTTAAATAGGGATGTTTGAACCAGTTCAGAAACGAAGCTAACGCCAGATATAGATAAATCAATCACAACCAATGATTCATTTGAAACTCTACCCAGGTGCATTCTACTTAATTAAAACCAGTTCACGCATCCCTTAAATTGTTATTGCTATTATAATTATAATAATAATTATTATTATTATTTTGGGTATTTTTTTGTTTTTGTAATTTTTTTGTTTGTTTATTTTGGGGTTGTTGTTTTGTTGTTTTGTTTTGGTTTGTTTTTTTTTTTTTTTTGCAACTCTCCACACTAAACTGCGCAATACTGTGGGGGAGAAGCCATTACTAAACTATATGCTGCAGAACAATGTAGCAAGTAATTAATTCCCAGCAGCCTGCCGGGACATCTGCTAGCAATAATCACTATTGATTTAAAGCTTTATTTAGCATTTATCTATATCCTAGTAGAGTATAAGGTCTTGCCACATTTTATTGACATTTTTATTAGTTGAGTTTGACTGAGAACTGTTGCTGTTGTTGGGGTTTTTTTTTGTTTCCCTTCCTCCCCCAATATTAAACTGTGAAATTTATAATGTGTTTAAACTATGGGTGAATCTTAGGCTTTAGTTTGCATGTTCAGCTAATTTGTCTCTATACGATTTTCGTTTGAATCTTTTTATTTTTTTTCCTCTCTCAGGGCTTTTACAAAAAACAAAAAAACAAAAACAAAACAAAAAGAAAACAAAAAAAAAATCTTCTAAAATTCTTTTGCCTGAGTTGCAATGGACTTAACATGGAGATAATTCAATCACTACATTAAGCACTTGACTGTGAAAGCGCAAAAAAAATAAAGGAAAAAGAAAAAAAAAGAGAGAACCTTGTTTGAGGCTGTTGTGAAATAACTTTAGGGGGCTATGTGACAGTCTGATTCCATTTTCAGAATGATTCATCTTCTCTTTACTCTCTGTGTGTCTCCTTTCTCTCTCTTCTCTCTCCACGAAGGAAGTTTAATCCTAGTGATTTCATCCCATGCAGGAAACAGTAATAAATGTGTAGAATTCATATTTTTCTAAAGGGAACTTAAACTGCTGCTACGAATTGTGTACAAGACTGGTTTATGCCACATGAACAGAGAATCACACATAGTTTTGGTACTTTTATTCCTCTTTTTTTCAGTTGTACAGTACTTCCAAATTCAAAATAAAAAGTAAAACTTGTTCTGTATCAAACCATCTAAGCAATAAAATGTTATATTTAAAAATTATAGGTTATTAAATGGGCGTGGCTCTTCTTGTGGGTTTGTGATGATGCTCTCTGCCTTAGCTCTGCTGGAGGACGACGTGCAAGCTGGAGTTTGTCTGTGCCAATGGATCACTGTTTCTCTTCCTTTGGTTGATCTGAATTTGGGCTGGAGATGATTGCAGCACTCTGAAAACTCGTGTTCATTTTGACCACCATCTTCTGGTAGCCAGGCCCCTTTGAAATGCTGCTTGTCTCCCAGTGCAATTCCTCAATGCAGCGACTGAAGACAGCAGAAAATGATGATTTTCCTGCATAGGCAGGGTCAGGATCCTTTTTCAATTAATGGTAGCCCCATGGTCACATAGGTGAGCATCCTCTCAGCATGTAGTATACCAGTCACTATTTTATAAATTAAGTAGGTTTCTGCTACAATAGTTTCCTTCTTGCATAAATGGCCGCAAACTCTTCAGGATGTATTCAAAAGCCACATGCATGTGTCATAAACAGAGACAAATCCTTTGTTTTAGCTTGTCAGAGCTGCCTTAGCTGCATTTTATATGCCTTCCTATAAATAAACCCCATTTCACAGGACAGTGAGCCAAAGAATATCTGAGTTGTGCATCCAGCTCTCGAGGCCAGAGAATTGCAGTGAAGCAGAGCATCCACATCTTCCTAAGTCCTGCTGCGGTGGTGCTTTCTGGCAGAGAAGTGAACCAGGTTCAGAATGAGAGACAGACTGGGGGCCTGCACTGCTGCTGCTTTCCTCCCTCAAGTCTCCTGCACCTTCCCCAGGGAAGTTCAAAATGCCTCACAGCACTTGGTCTGCTAAAGACCTTGGTCCCTCACCCCCAGGGAGGAACAGGTTAAAACAGAAGCATTCAGCCAGCTCAGCCCCAAACCAAGGATATCTGATGAAGTGGAGCTCTGAAGGCTCTCTGGGTGAGCTAATTGGGTGGAAACATCATTTCTGAGGGAGGAAACCTGCAGAAAATAATTTTCCCTCTCCCACCCACTGACCTGAATCGCCTCTCCTCTCGTGAGACTGATGGGAAGCTCGCATCCAAGTGGCCTGGGGACCTGTCAGGAGGTGTAAAATCAAATGGAATGAGTTTATGTGGCTAGGAAGTGATGGTGACTAATAACTTACAAAACAGATGACTTAGAAAGCACTTGGTTCTTGGTTCTTGGCCATGGAAGAGTATAATTGCAGCCCTTTTCTGCTTCTACCTCAGTTTGACAGCAACTGTTGCTGAGTTGGGAATTCCCCTGCTCTTCCTGCCTTGGACAGGGTAACACCCTGCAGACCAGCTGAACTGTGCTCCTTGCTGGCATTTCCCTTTCCCTCTTCCTGCCTCCACTCCTTCCCACACTAGCACCCATGGCAGTGATAGCTGGAGCTGGCCTGAAACACCAGGTTAGCAGAGGTGGGGAGGTGTCTCCGTGTGCCTCCTGCAACTTGCTGCTTCCTCACCTCATTCCCTAAAGTTTTTTTTTTCCCACCTTGGCAAGGGTGAAGCTGAACTTAATTCCTGACATTGATAGGGAGAATGGCACAGCCCCTCTTTGAGGCACTGCTGTGCTTCAGGCGTGGAGGCCACATGCTGGCCCAGAGCATTAAAATTTGGGGAAGACCCAAGTCCTCTGCTACCAGAGGGATCCTTGGCAGCAAGGGGCACCAGGAAAGTGGGTTTTTTCCTGCAGTGTGGAGTGTGAAGCTGTGGGGATGGGCAGGAGATAGTGGGATTGGGTGAAAACTTCCCCAAAACAGAATGTGGAGCCTGGTTGGAGCATCTTTTCTTTTTTTTGTTTTCTGCTACTGAAATGCAAACAAGTAACGAGAAAGGAATAAAGTTCCTTGCTTTTCATTATGCAGCTGTCTCAAAGTAGCCAGCATTTGTGAGATGGGAGGGCTGTACACCTACACCAAGATCTTCAGAAAGTGAGTGCAATGAGACGTGATTTGCTGTTGACACTTAACAGTGTTTTGGCCTGTTCTGTTGGAGAAAGCCTTTCTCAAAATTGGTCACAATTCAACTAGCAAAGGCAGCAAGGGGCAAAAGTTTACTTGATATCTTTCCTTCTTCACAAGTCTCCGGTTTGGGGACTCACACATGCCATTTTCTTTCAGCATTTCTGTAGTTATGATTGAAAATGTCACTTTTGGAAACCCTGAAGTTCAGGATTACATGCAAAGGGACACTCAAGACCTCAGCACAGAATAACCAGCACTTTTTGTATGTCAAAGAGGCACCATTTTTCATCACCCACTCTGGCAAAGCAAAAAAAAAAAAAAAAAAAGATGGAGAAATTGGATTGCTCAATTGGAACATCTCTTAAGTGCTGGACTGTGGAA